AAAGAGTGATGGGAAGCCAGGGATAAGGCACAGGCTAAGATCTGGAGGGAGACCAGTGTGGCACCTCCCCCTCCCAAGGAAAAGAGAAGCCAGCACCTGATGGAGATCGAGAAAGACAAGGAAAGAGAAGACAGATAGGAAGGAGACAGAAACACAAAGGAGAAAGAGGGCTGGCATGGCAGAGAGTTGCGAGGTGGAAGAGGAACTCCTGCCTGTTTCTTGAGTCATGAGAACTGTGTAAATCCTAATGGAAGATGGTATGAGTTCACAATTCCAACTCGTAATGGGATCCCTCCCCCAAGTAGTGTTATAAATCTCAGGGCTTGTCTATAGATTCTTTGGGGCCTGAGTTTGTTCCTGCATTTTTATAAAGGAGAGGAGGGAAACTATAAAGGGACCTGAGGAAGGCAGAGATTGGCAGCAGAATGCAGTGGAATCCTAGCTGCTTATGTTCTCAGGCACCAATCCTTTGCTTTTCTATCAGATTAAAAACACATTCTATATTATATATTTCACTGGCCTAATTAATCAATCAGTGAGTACTTATTGAGTGTCTACTTTATGCTAGGTGCTAGGCATGCAAATTAAAAAAAAAAATCCTACCCTCAAGGAGCTTACATTCTGATAGGAAGAAACAACCCACTTAGGGCAGTAGTGGCCAAGGAAGGCATTCAGTCTGGGAAGTCACTGGAATGAGAAGTGGAATAATCTTACAATTCATTGACATGCCCTTTCTGAAGCAATGACAGATGGATTTGATTGTAATTCTCAGACCAAAATGGAGAAGGGGGTGAGGTACCGAAAAGTCAGTTGGGTAGAGAATGGTTGAGATCACAAGGCTGCATTATTGTAGGGAGTCCAGAGCTGAGTAACTCAGCTCCTTCTGGGCATGCAGCATCTGGCATGACCATGGGGAAGATGAGGAAGCATGGTCCCAGGAATTCCAGGTGGAATCATTTAGCTAGTCTCAGATATGGTCTGTAGAGACAACTGGAGTTCCTCTTAGAATCTAAGGAGAGTCACTGTAGCATCTGGAATATGGTCAGATTGGATTTAGAATATCAGTTTGGCAGCCATGTGGAGAATGACATTGGAGTGAGGAGAAACTGGAGGTCAGGAGACCAATTAGGAGGATGTCACAAGAATCCTACTGAAAGGAGAGGAGGGCCTGAACCAGGGTGGCAACTATGGGAGTGAAGAGAAGAGGACAGAAGTGGAGACCTAATCGGCAAGACTAAGTAGCTGATTAAATGAGAGTAGCGAGGAAAAGGGAAGATTTCAGCTTGATGGGATTGCAAACTCGGGTAGCTAGGATGATGGTGCCCTCTGCAGAAACAGAGGAGTTAAAAACAGAGGCTTAAGTGGAAAACAAATTAGTTCTGGTTTGGACATGTTGACTTTGAGACACCTATGAGGTGTCCAGTTGGAATTGCCCAATATGTAGCTGATAATGCAGGGCTGGAGTTTAAGAGACAGAACAGGGTTGGATATATAGACCTAGAAGGCACCTGAGAAGAGGTGACAGCTGAATCCGTGGGAGCTGGTGAGACCGATGAGAGAATATAGAGGGAGAAGAAAAGACAGAGACCTGGGGTTCACCAACACATAGATGATCCAGCAAAGAAGACTGGGAAGCAGTCAGAGGGGTTGGGGGTGGGGGAGAAGCAAGAGAGAGCAGTATCATGAAAACCTGGGGAAGAGAAGGTATCTAGGAGGAGGGGGTGGTTACCCGTGTCACATACTGCAGAGGTGAAGAAGGATGAGGACTCAAAAATGGCATCAGATTAAGCTTTTCAGAGATTTCACCTCAGAAAAAGCAGCTACAGTTGAGTGATGAGCCAGATTGCAAGAGGCAAAGTGGGGTGAAGTAGGAGAGGGGAGACAGAGACAAGTAGATTTCCTTATTTACTCCAGCTTTAGGTTGAAACCATCAGCTTAACTTCCAACCACTCATACTTTGAGAGATTGGAAGAGACGAAAAAGACTTGAGGCCCATAGAGGGAAATTCATTTGTGCAAGGTTTCACGAGTAGTATATAGGAAAACAATTAATGAATATTCTCTTAATATTCATTAACTAGGCAAAATAAGAAAATGTGAGATCCTTCGGTACAGATAGAAACTAAGAGGTTATGAGACATTCCTAAGTAATGAATTTAGAGCTGTAAAGGAACTTGGTTCTCAAATTTGTGAATGAGGAGAAAAAAATTGTCTTGTCCTCAGTGGTCATCAGGAGAAGTTGACGCAGGTCCCAGAACAGTCAAGAGTCAATGAACGTTTATTGCTAGCACACTACGTGACGAGCGCCCAGCTAATCGCGGACTGCGCGCAAGCACTGCATTCTGCCGGGCTGCCGCGGCGCACAGATCCCTGGCCCTCAGGGGCGGTCACAGTTCAGGAGTAAGGAGCGGCTTATTGTTCTTCCCGGTCCGCCGCGGGAAAGTGGCCCAGGATCCTCTAGTTCTTTCTCCCCCGCCAGGTGTGAAGCCTCCCTTCCAGTCTTGGCCCGGCACCGCCAGCCGGCAGCAGGCTCTGCCACTTTCTCCGATTGCAGCACAAGGCACAGAAACCTGCCCCCCCCCCAACCCCAGCAGCCCCGCGCGCTGTCCTCTCCGGGTTCCACTTGGCTCGCAGCGCACCCCGGTGGCCGAGCCTGCCCGCGTCTGAGCACCCACGCCCTGGGGACACAGGGCAGCGAGGGACGCAGCCCTCCCCGAAGTGCCCCGTGCCTCAGCCTCCGTGTCAGTTTCAGTCTGGCGCTGCTTCTGCCCGAGCTTGCCACACCTGGAGAGCCGGCGGCGCGCCCGGGGAGGGGCGTGGGAGGCCCGCGCTGCGCTCCCGCCCTCCGTCCCTCCGGCCGGCGGCGGGGCTGGGGAGGAGGGTCTGGAGCTCTCGGGCTCCGGATTCCGCGAGGGCGGGCCCCCGTGGGGGGGGAAGGGAGGAGGGCCCCGAGCGCCTCCAGCGAGGAGCGGCCCCTGGGCGGGGGCAGCACCGCGGGACCATGGAGCCCGGCTGCCCGAGTCGGAGCCCACGGGGGCGGCGCCGGCGCCGGCGGCAGCGGCAGCGGCAGCAGCAGCAGCAGCAGCAGCAGCAGCGGCAGCCCGGGCAGCCCGGGGAGCCCCGGGACACCGCCTGGGTGGAAGCGTGGCTGGACGACCACCGGGACTTTACTTCCTCCTACTTTGTGCGGAAAGCCACAAGGTAAGCAAAGTAGGCGCAAGCCTCGCACGCGGGAGCCTGGGGGTTGGGGGGTCCGCGGCTCTTCTCCTCTCCTTTCCCCGGCTCTTGCCCCTGCCCCTGGCCCAGGAGTCACCCCAGCACTGCTTCTAGGGCTTGGAGAACAAAAGCCCACGAAACAGGGGGTTGGACCCGATGACCTCTGAGATCCCTTCCCAACTCTAACTGGCCGAGCCTTGGATCGCAGGAGGGACTGGGGTCTTGGAGATCCCTGGGAGCCCTCCCCGAACTCCGGCCCCGCCAGCAGCACAGCCCGGCTGCCGATCCGGTCCGGGCGCGGACACCGAGTCTGCAGCCGGGCCGGGGCTTCCCCGGATCAAAGATTTTTTTTTTTCTGCTTTCCGGGTCCACGCTGCCGCCTCGCTTCTGCCCTCCCACTTTGCCCTCAACCCCAGAGCGAACCCCAACAGTTTTCCCTCCTTGGGGCCCGGAAGAAAGGGCCGGTTTAGTCCGAGTTCTTTCCCCGGGGGTAACTGGAGAAATAGGCGTGTGCGTGGTTTTGTGTGTGCTTGGAATTGGGTAGGGGGCTGGAGCCTGGAATCTTCCCGGGCGCAGTGTCACCCTGGCCCCCAGACCAGGACCCCGCCGCCACCTTCTTTTCCGATCTTCTAGCTGTTTTACTCCTTTGGGAGTTTTTGGGAGATGCACAGAAAGGCCGCTGAGCCTTGCCCCGGGGTTCCGGCCTGGCCTGGGTCAGCGCTGGGCTCTCTAGGAGGCCCCCGCTGCCTGGCACACGAGAGGGACAGAAGAGAGGGAGAAGAACGGTGGGGGCGGGGCCGGGGCCGGGGACAGAGGCGGAGCTGGGCCGGGCTGGGAGGAGACCCCGAGCAAATGGCGGGTCTGGAGCTGCCCTGGCTAACTGAGCGCGCCAGGCCCGGTCCGGTCCGGCTGTCCTGGACGGGAGGGAGCCAGCCAGGCCTGGGAGCGCCGGCCGCAGTCCGGGAAGGAAGGAGAAAGAGACCGCGAAGAGGGAGCGAGGCTGGGCGTGCTGTCCATCTCCACTAGTCTTGTTCAGCTTTGCCAGCCTAGCCCAGCAGGGGTGGAGCTTGAGCTTGAGCGTGTGTGTGTGTGTGTGTGTGTGTGTGTGTGTGAGTGTGTGTGTATGTGTGAGTGTGTGTGTGAGTGTGTGTGTATGTGTGAGTGTGTGTGTGTGTGTGAGTGAGTGAGTGTGTGTGTGTGTGTGTGTGTGTGCGTCTGTTTGAGAGGAATAGCCGCAGCTGCTGGAGGAGGGGACGCGGGGGGTGGGGGTGGGGGGCGGCGCTGTTTCCCCGAGGGCCCCCTATAGTTAGTTGTTCCTGCCTGTCCGGGGTGGGACGGAGGAAGGTTGGGCAGCAGCAGCAGCAGCAGCATCTAGGGCAGGGACTGAGGCACGGACACCGGGGGGTTTGAGCCTCGCTCTTCGTCGCCGGAGCGTGCAGTGCAGACTCCCGGAGAAGGCTGCCCGTCGGTTGGCCTGCCGTCTAAGGCACTGAAGGCCGCAGCACAAGGGGCTAGGAGAGGCAGGAAAAAGTTGGCCTGAGGGCCGGGTCAGGGACGCCTGAGTTTGCCAGGACTTGGAGCCGGCCACGGACTTGGGGAGCGGTGAGGGAGATCAACAGCCTTCCCAGTGGGGCGCTGCTGTGCCAAGCGCTCCCTGCTAGGGGGCAGCGTCCTCGCGGCGCGGCGTGGGAGCTTCGGGAGTTCAAGGGCGTGTCCCAGCATCACCTGGCGGTGCAGCCGCTCCTCGTCTCACCTTGTCTCACCTCGCCCCGCGCGCCTCACTCAGCAGCCCTGTCGGGGGCCGGCTCAGGTGCAGGAGGGAGCTCCCGGTTGTTGGGACGAGGCTGCATGGTCTCCCCCCCGAGCCTCGGCTATGTTGCCTTTTGGAGACAAAACGAGGTATTGTCATCCTTCCGGCCCGGCGGCCCCAACCCAGAGGGGGAGCGGGGGGTGGAGAGCACGGGCACTCGCGGCAGACTGGGAAAGCGGCAGGAGGCAACTGACCTGCTGAAGGCACTGAGCCCAGATGAAGCAGGGCATCACCTTTACTGTGTTTATGTACCAGTCTTATGAAAGAGCCTAGATTCAGCGTTAGAGACTGGTGGGCTTCTCCCCCCGCCCCTGGAGCAAGGAGGCAAGAGAGGGTTTGGAGATCCCGATGGGGGCGGTTCTCTCCCTGGGGTGAATTTTTGCAGACCCCGATGTTTGAGAAGGGGGTTGTTCCAGAGAAGGAGATTTAGGCTTGATGTAAAGAAGAACTTTCTATCATTAGAGATGTCCAGAATTAGAATGGCTTCTCGGAGACGGAGCGAGCTCCCCATCACTAAAGAGGTCTTCATATGCGGGTTAGGTCAATGTCTTGCGGGGGATGTTGTGGAGAGGTTTTTTTTTTGTTTGTTTTGTTTTGTTTCTGGTCTTGTGAAGGTCGGACAGAAGCAGGGGTTTGCCATTTCAGGTCTATGAATTTGATTTTTCAATATTTTGATATATATACTTCAATACATTTTTTCCTTTATAATCCTGTGTATTTTATTTTATTAGTTCAACAGCAATATTCCGAGACAGGGGTCCATATGCTTTACCAAACTGCCCAAGGGGTCTGTCACTCACACACGTTAAGAAGTCCTACAATAGATATGGTCCCCAAGGTGTCTTCCAGTTTTTAAATTTGGGAGAACCTCAGTGATCTGCTGTTCATTTGTTTTCCCAAATTTCTATCCTGCTGCTCCCACATCCCACTGCCTACAAACCAGACCTGAGAACCGCTACCCCATTGGCTCCCAAGCAGGGAGGGCATTTTAAAGAGCGTGGGCTTTGGCTGCAGCTCCAAAGGGGCGGTGGCATTGGCAGGGTTAAGTTTTCACATGCGGCCTGCTGCCAAGTCTGTGTGACTCTGCCACCCTCCCCCCTCCCCAAACACCTTGTATTAGAAGGATGCTCATTTCCTGTAACATTAGATTTCTCACTTTGTCAAATAGTTTCCCTGGTAGTGTTTTTGTTTGTTTTTTGGCAGCCGCCATAAGTGAAACTCTTGTTGCACTTGAAAACCCAAAGCCCTGTCGTCCTCTGATACCTCATTAGCCCCCTGGGTTCTGCTGATGGTAGTTTGGCACCCCCTCCCTTCACAGACTCTCCATCCAGGGAAATGATTTAGGGGTCATTTTGACTAGACATTTCACTTTCAGAGCTCACTGGGAATCTTCTGAAACCTGGTAACTGTAGCAAAACATGGGAAATGATGAAGCCCTAATCCTCTTTGCAATGTCATTTTCTAATTTTCTCTGGCTGTTGTTAGGATTCTCAGGGTTTGTGCCCTGCTTAGGGGCCGCCCCCCCCCAAGTTAGAGGGGAGTCAGAGCCCAGAGAAGCTCTTTGCTCAAAGACAGCCTTAACACAATTCCTGACTCCAAGGGGATGACAGAGCCTAGCTATCTCACTTTTCAGAAGGATGTGGATTTCTGCCTTATGAGAACCGGAAATTGATCCCATGTTTAACCAGAGGATAGCAGGCCTTTAATCTCTGAAGGCCAAGAAATACAAGCTCTCCCATTTGGGATTGTACATTGTCCAGCTGGTTGGGAGCGGCCTGCAAAGGCTTCCAAACCGGTCTGGGTAGGAAGTTGAGTTTTTCACATGGTGGGAGGGTGAGTGGGAGGCAATGTAAAAAGCGATTACATCTGGGTGATTCCAGATAGGACCTCAGACACCGACTGGCAGATCTCAGAAACACCAGAATCAAAGTCTAGGCCACAGAAATCACTGCAGAAAAGTTCCTGATAGTTTGATTATGATTTTAGCTTACCTGCTGACTAAATCTTGGATCACTTCTTGGAAATGTTATTCTTTCCCCTTCCACGTTTTCTTCTAAAAAAAAAAAATAGAAAAAGAAGGTATGAATGAGCATGTTTTGGCTTGGAAATTAAAAAAAAAAAAAAGTAAAACTTATTTGGGTAGTCCATCTGCCCCAGGAATCAAACCTGTTGATGGATCTAGCTTCTTAGGGATTTCATTGTGTTGGGCACCCCCTCTACCAACACAGCTCAGCATCTCTCTGCTAATTTTCTTTCTAATTTTGTTTTAGAGATTCACCTGAGGCTCGGAGATTAAGTGACTCAACCAGAGCCTCTTTAGGTCTTCCTGGCTCCCAGACCTGGTCTTCTATCAGCTAAACCACATGCCTCTCATTGGTTTATCTTAAGATACTGGTTCTAGGTTTGGGATGAACCTTAAAGTTCATCTAGGCAACTCAACTCCTTCATTTTACATATAAGGAAACCAAGATTTATTTAGTCATGTGCTACTCTGAGCCCCCAAAAGGGGGGAGATTGTGGCAAAGATACTAGAATGGATTAGCTATTTCTTTCTCGTTTTACAGATGAGGAAACTGAGGCAGAGTCAAGTGACTTGTCCAGGGTCAGCTAGTAAGTTTCTAAGGCAGGATTTGAACCTATGAAGATGAGACTTCCCGATTCCAAGTCCAGTGCTCTATCCACTGCAGCACTTAGCTGCTCCAAAATCAACCCTTAAAAAGGGAATTGACATTCCTGGAGGCACATGGAGTGCTAAGTAATAGAGTCAGCATTTGAACTCAGGTTCTACAAATCTGAGTTCAGTCCTCTTTCCTCCATCCTGTAGTGTTTCTCAGTCTTTAACTGTTGAGTTTCAACAAGTGTTTTGGCATCTCATTCTGCTGGACAGCATGAGACTTGGTTTAAATTCGGTCACATGCCGTGGACAATTATTAGTAGCGAGTGAGGCCATAGTCCTCCTCCTAAAGATGGATGGCAAGCTGTCAGTATTCCTTGTAACTCATTGAAAGGTAGCATTTGATTGAAGAGGTACTTGGCTCTTAGCTTCCCTTGGACCTAACTTTAATTAAGAAGAAGACAATGCCAGGATCTCTTCAGCATTGAAAAGAGATTGGGGGTGGGGAGGCAGGTCGGGAAAAGACTGGTGGCAGCCCGGTGCTTCGCCACCTTATTGTGCATTTGATTGCATGAGTTAAGTTAATAATGTGAATGACCAGCATTTTGGCAATTAATTTTCAACAAATCAACTGGATTATGTGGAGAGCTATTTTGATGCCCCCTGCACCATCCCAGGAATCAGACTGCCCAGATCCTTTGAAGGAGAAGGGTCATTTTTTCCGATGTGTGTTTGCATTCTCAATGTAAACCTTCTTGATTCTAAGACCTAGGAAATGTGTCTGTTGTTTTCAGTAGCATCTTAAAATAATGTTAACTTTTGATCTTTGAGATTAAGTACAGCTGGGATGTAAATGTTATGTTTTTTCCAGTTTTCTAACAATTGCAGGTTGTCTCTCTGATCCATAAAAATTGCTTTATTTTGTACCAGGCCAAAAAAAAAAAAACAAAAAAAAAACAAATGCCTCTTTGCATATAGTCGAATTGACTGATATGAAGTTGTTTGTGGTGGCTTCGATCAGTCTGGGAACTACAGGTCATTTGTCACTCCCAAGTAGTTTTCCATAATTAACTTTACACTGAGCATCATGGGAGCATAGATTTCAAGCTGGAAGGGACCTCTGAGACCAACTCATCCAACCCCTCATTTTACAAATGAGGAAACTTGGACCTTGAGAGATAAAGTGACCTGCCCAAAGTTGTACAGGTGACAGGGTGTGTTTCCCCCACTCCCCAGGACCTGGGTTCCCCAGGTTCTCTGTGATTTTGCCGCTGAACAATACTGTGTCTACTCAACATCACAAAGATAGACTGAATTAGTTGGATAGAAGCAGAAGGGAGAGGGAGGTCTTAGGTCCCAAATGTCCTTTGAAAAAATTTTCTTGTTGTCACTTTTCTCCCTTCTATTATCTCTTATTATTGCTATTGTTGAATCATTTCAGGCATGTCTGATTCTTCATGACCCCATTTGGGGTTTGGGGTTTTCTTGACAAACATACTGGAGTGGTTTGCCATTTCCTTCTCCAACTCATTTGGCAGATGAGGAAATTGAGGCACAGTCAAGTGACTTGCCCAGCGTCACACGTCTAATATGAGTCTGAGGCCACATTTGAACTCATGAAGATGGGTCTTCCTGACTCCAGGCCCAGCACTCTATCCACTGTGCCACCTAGCAGCCCCCAAGATAGTACTTTAGAAAGTAGTTGATATGGATATAAAACAGGTGGCAAGTGCTATTCACTCTGAATTTTTGTTATTTTCCTATTCAATTGAAGAGAGCATTTCACGTAAGTAATTTGCCTACAAATTATTTGTAAAGTACATTTTGCTAATGCATTTACTAAAGAGTCCTAAATTTGAAGTCCCAAGACCTGGATTCAAAATTCAGCTGTGCTATTTACCAACTTGGTTCACTTAATTCTCTTAATTTCCTCCTTTGTAAACGGAGGGGATTGAACCTAATAATCTCTGAGGTCCCTTCACACTCTAAATCTTGCGGGTCGTAGAAAATAAAATCCACTGGCTGTGGACCAAATACTACCATTTCTGTTCCTGTTTCGCATTGTTTGTCAGTTTATTGCCTTTGTGAAATATTGGCTGTCTTATTCAAAGGGTGTGTGTGTGTGTGTGTGTGTTATGTATACCTGTGTATAATTGGACAGTATCTACCTGCCCTTCTGTACTTTTGAATCAAAGAACCTGGAGCCAATTCCGTCTTCCTGGACTTTTGTACCTGTAGCAGCTACTGCAAATTAGCTCCCGTTTCTTCTACCTATGGCCTGTTTGGAAGGCATTGTTGGCATGTTGTCTTCCTGGTTAGACCATGAGATTCTTGAGAACGGGACTATTTTTTTCCTTTCTCTTAATCTTTAGCGCTTAGCATAGTGTCCAGCATATAGTAGATATTTAATAAACGCATGTTGACTTGATCGGCTAAGAATTTGTTTTGTTTTGGTTTGGTTTGGTTTTCTCTTTG